ACAGGCTGCCCAGGGAGGTTGTGGAGTCTCCTTCTCTGCAGATATTCAAGACCCGCCTGGATGCCTACCTGCGCGACCTGGTGTAGGGAACCTGCTTTGGCAGGGGGTTGGACTCAATGATCTCTGGAGGTCCCTTCCAACCCCTATGATCCTGTGACTTTACAAATCCTGAAAGCCTTATAATTGTCTGAAATTCTTATTTGTAGGAAAGCATGGGGATCTGATGCTTCCATAGTCCTCCTTTTACTGATACTTCACAGGTTATATAAAGCCTTACTGAAATTACTAAAGAGAGCCTGCTTTTATTTAAGATTTGCATAATCATCCAGTTCGGGGTATTTCTTAAAACATAGAGGTGAAAGGTGAAATAGTGAATTAGTGAAATAGTGCATTCTGAACAGTCTAGATTTGGTTCTTCAGTTGTTGGTGCAGTTACTTTTTAATTACCCTTTGTAATATCTTTAAAAGTCTTGGAGCATCTTAACCTGTGTAACTGTATTACACACGTAATCAGGTGAAGCCACATGGTGGCAACTGGAGGAGACTGAGTTTTCCGTCACACAAATAACATGGTGCTGCTCAAACAAGCAACTTTATACTCCTAATTTGCACCATCTGCCCAGAATAAAAGCCCCTAGAGGTGGGGACATTAAAAGTATTTGCCATCTTAATGGTTTACAAGTAATACCTTTCTTTGCTTTGAGATTATGGCTCAATAGACTAACCATGCAATTGCATAATATATGAGTTGCTGTGTTGTTCTTATCAAAGGTTTTAGTAATTTTGTTTTTGACTCTTACAGATGTTCATATGGAGCTGATATTATTACTGAATTTATGTTAAGGATGGATTTCTATATTATATTAAAGCTGAAGTCTGCTGCTTGGACCTTGGTCCTTTGTCATGTTTAAACATAGTATTTCTTGGATTTTACTCTACGCGATGAGCTGTAGCTGCAAGTTGGAAGTATACAGCGTTCTCCTCCTTTTAAAAATTTTGTATCTAATTCTGTTCTATTTAAATAGGCTTCTTGGGAGACCGTAGGGGGAAAGAAGAAAAGCCTTGGAAAAGAAAGCTCAGAAAACAAAGAGAACAGAGAAAAACGAGGAGACAGAGAAGTGAGTCGTGGGCAGGGAAGCTCCAACAGACGGGGAAGAGGAGGCAGCCATGGCCGAGAGTGTATGTATAGGGGTTCATTTTAAAAAAGCTTCAGATGTTTTTCTTGCAGCTGAAAATGATTGAGAGTGAATGCTTAATGGAATGAAGTCCATCAGAGCTATACCTCAGTGCTGAAGTGGTTACAACTTGTTTATGCAACACATATACTTGATCTGTCTACATGATTTGATTTTGGAATAGTCTGTGCTTGTATTTTTCAGAGGTAACTCACTTTAATTTCAATTTCTGTCCTTTATGATTAATTGATCTTGTACAACTTACTGTTCTTTATGTAAGTTTTAGAATTGAATCTTTAAGACTGCTCGATAGCAAATGTCACTGCACAGCTGATACATTTTTTTCGTTTGCTTTAATGAAAAAAATCCAGCTTTGACCATCTCCTTTTATGAGTGGGAAAGCCTGAAGATGAGAACATCTTCTCGTAAGGGGAATGAAAAGACTGGGGATATTATTTAATCTCTAGCATATATTACTCACATAACTCAGCCACAGGTGAGTTTCTACAAAAGAGAAAGTATTTTGTGAACTGAAACACTCTTTAAAAAAAATTGCTACAGTTCATACAGGTGCAATAGTATGTTGTGCAAAAGAGAACTTATGTTTTACAAATTAGGTAACATTGCAATAAATCATTATTGGATACATATTGCCTTTTTCCTTTAAGTTTTATCAGAAATACTGAAGCGTTATGTATTGCCTATAATGGCTATAAACAACACTGATAAATGAGCAGAGAATAGGGAGGGGAGGGAGGGAAAAAGCAGGAAAGATATTTACAATGTTAGCCAACTTTTCTAATTTGTTATTGAAATATATTCAGGTATTGTGTCAATGGAGGCACTGAGAACCTTCGTAGAGTAGAGTAACATCAAAATGAAAGTGAGGAGCAAGATTTTTGCCAGATGCAACTTAATTCTTTCCTAAATCGGAACTAAAGATTTTTTTTTTTTAGCTGATTATCAACTCTTTATATTCTCTTTCCATCTTTATACGCATTCTTTAACAACTTCATTGCTGCTATTAGGACAAATTGTGCAGTACAAAATTCTCAGCAGTGTTTTAAGTGGACAGTCTTTTTTTTTTTCCTTCAGGAATCCAACCATCTTTCAGAATACCTACTCAGCAGTTTTCCACAAAGTAGAAGTTGTGCTTTTCAGACACATTGCCTTATCCCCATCTCATTTAAATACAGACGAGAGTTAAGTTTCCCTGGTTGCATAGGGATGTGAAACAAACAGGAGAAGAGTTGGCATTCTTGGTTAACTCTTATTCTTTCACTGTTGCCAACCAGCACACATTATCAAGAAAGTGAAATATGAGGCAGATTTACTTCCTGCCTCTTTAGAGGTGAGACCATAATTGATTTAATAGTGTAGGCTGCAAAACACTATACTTCCAAAAAAAGTACTGTCTGCTGAAAGACATTTCTCTCTAATTAGATATTTTGCTTCCTTGTTGTCCAATCCAAAGTAAACAAATAACTGAAAAATCTTGCCTTTTCTTTTGGAGTACAAGTCAAGCAGATGGCCATATTTTCATGTATGAATCTCTAAAGTTTCCCTTAAGTTGTCTTTTCTCCACAGTTAAAGCTGAAGAGAATGGAGTGGACAACAATCAAGGAGACAGACCTTCAGACCGTGGAAAACATGGCCGTGGGAGAGGTGAGATGGTGGCATTTGTGTGGGACTGGTACTTACTGGTTTCATTTTCTGATATGGAACTCTATAATTTATTTAAAACCTTTTTAAGCATTTGTTGGTTATCCTTTGATTCTATAAGCACTTCAGCCATATTTAATTAGGTCCCTTCCCCCTCCCATACCCCTTTTTATTGTTGGGTCTCAAGATGACTTAGAGGTGATTTGTGTCAATTATTTTATGGCAGTTTTTTTTGTGTGATTGACTGGTGTGCTCAGGCTATGGAGAGCTCTTTTCCCAGTTCATATCATGCCAGTCTCCTGTGAGTGACTGGACTCCTCAATATGTACCTCGGTAGCAGGAGAGTACAAGATTCCATCTGTAGATCAATTGGAGGGATTTGACACGTACTTGTCATTTCTTTTGGGGGAATTCTGTTGTCATGCTTACCTTCTGTTTTCAGTAGCCATTCAAAGTACTTGCCACCTTAGAGGCATTTAGGAAAGAGGAGGAGTTTGATATGGAATTGTTCATGAGGAGAGCTGTGGAAAGAGCACTGTGGAGTCATAAGTACAACTCCTATTGTACCCTACAGAAGAGAAAGGAAAGATGTTGGATTTAGTGTGGAAACAAGGGATGCATAGTTGTTTTGAATGTTCATGAGATCAAGTAGAAAGAAGCTTGTTTTTCTTGGAACAAGAAGGGAAATGGGTAATCTGAGAATGGTACAAATTGTATGGGGAAATAGATATTAATTAATAATAATGGATATTAAATAAATTGTGACCATGAAATTCTGGAGGGTGTCAAAGAGGTTGTGCAGCAAGCTTGCTACTCTGGACTTCAGGAGAGCAGACTTCAAACTCCTCAGGGAAATGCTTGGGAGGGTGACATGGGATAAAGCCCTGGAGGGAAGAGGGGCCCAAGAAAGCCTGTCAGTATTCAACAACCATCTCCTCCAAGCTCAGAAGCAGTGCACCCTCAGAAACAGAAAGGCAGGCAAGAATGCCAGGAGGCCTCTGTGGATCAACAAGGAGCTCCTGGACTTACTTGTGCAGAAAAATAAAATCTATGGGGAGTGGAAGCAGGAACGAGTTACCTAGGAGGACTACAGAGAAGTTGTCCGAGCAGCCAGGGGATCAGGTTAGGAAAGCTAAAACTCAGAATTAAATCTAGCCAAGGACATCAAGGGAGAACAAGAAGAAATTCTACAGATATATCAGTGATAAAATGAAGGATGAGGAAGATGTGGACCCTCTCCAGAAGGAAACTGGATACCTCGTCACAAGGGATATGGATACAGCTGAGGTGCTCAATTATTTCTTTGCCTCGGTCTTCACCAGCAAGGGCTCTAGCCACACCACCCAAGCTGCAGAAAGCAAAAGTAAGAACTGTGAGAAGGAAGATCTGCCTGCTGTAAGTGAAGATCAGGTTCAAGACCATCTAAAGAACCTGAAGGTGCACAAGTCCATGGAACCTGATGAGATCCGTTCACAGGTTCTGAGGGAACTGGCAGATGAAGTTGCCAAGCCACTATCCATCATATTTGAAAGGTCATGGCAATCTGGTGAAGTTCCCACTGATTGGAAAAGGGAAAACATAACCCCCATTTTCAAGAAAGGAAAAAAAAAGATCTGGGAAAAAACAGACCAGTCTCACCTCTGTGCCTGGCAAGATCACAGAGCAGATCCTCCTGAATGCCCTGCTAAGGCACATGGAAAATAAAGATGAGATGATTGGTGGTAACCAACATGGCTTCACCAAGAGCAAATTGTGCCTGACAAACTTGTTGGCCTTTTATGGTGGAGTTGCAGTGTCAGTGGATAAAGGAAGAGCAATTGATGTCATCTACCTGGACTTCTGCAGAGTATTCAACACTGTCCTATGTGACATCCTGGTTGCCAAATTGGAGAACAACGAATGCGATGGATGTACCACTCACTGGAAAAGGAATTGGCTGGATGGCCTCAGAGTTGCAGTCAACAGTTCAATGTCCAAGTGAAGACTGGTGATGAGTGGCGTTCCCCAGGGATTGGTGCTGGGTTCAGTGTTAACATCTTCATAGGTGACATGGACAGTTGGATCAAGTGCACCCTCAGCAAGTTTGCAGATGACACCAAGCTGAGTGGTGCAGTGACACACCAGAGGGAAGGGATGCCATCCAGAGGGACCTGGGCAGGCTGGAGAGGTGGGCCTGTGCAAACCTCATGAAGTTCAACAAGGCCAAGTGCAAGGTCCTGCACCTGGGACAGAGCAATCCCAAGCACAGATACAGGCTGGGCAGAAAATGGCTTGAGAGCAGCCCCGAGGAGAAGAATATGGGAGTGTCAGTTGATGAAAGACTCAGCATGAGCCAGCAACGTGGGCTTGCAGCCGAGAAGGCCAACCGTATCCTGTGTTGAATCAAGAAAAGCATGACCAGCAGATCAAGGGAGATGATTCTGCCCCTCTGCTCTACTCTCATGTGAGTGCTGTGTCCAGCTCTAGGGCCCCCAACACAAGAAGAACATCAAGATGTTGAAGCAGGTCCAGAGGATGACCACAAAGATGATCAGAGGGCTGGAGCACCTCCCCTACAAGGAGGGGCTGAGAGAGTTGGGGCTCTTCAGCCTAGAGGAATGAAGGCTTCAGGGGGTCCTTATAGCGGTCTTCTAGTATGCGAGGGGGTCTACAGGAAAGCTGGGGAGGGACTTTTTAGAAGGCTATGTAACAGCAGGATTAGGGAAAATGGCTTTAAACTAGAAGATGGTAGATTTATACTAGATATTAGGGAGAAATTCTTCATTGTGAGGGAGGTGAGACATTGGAACAGGTTACCCATAGAGATGGTGGATGACCCTGCCCTGAAAGCACTCAAGGCCAGGCTGGATGGGGCTTTGAACAACCTGACATTGTGGGAGGCATTCCTACCAGTAGCAGGGGGTTGGAACTAGATGATCTTAAACATCCTTTCCAATACAAACTGTTCTACAAGTCCATGATAGACGATGGAATCAAGGGTGCTCTGAAATGCTGTAACACAACAGAATGTACAGCAACAAAAGCAAAGCAGCAAAATCCTAGACTGCAATAAACAAGGAAACGCTAAAATGCAACAGCTACAGAAACGAAAGAATCTACTTGCCTTCAGAAGACCTCTGGTACACAAGAATCTCCAGCAAAATATCCTCACATCCACTGACAACCCTTAAATGAGGTCTGGGAAGAGGCAGATCCTGGCTCCACCCCTTCCAGTCACTCAGGTACATTGCATGCACCTGAGCTCCCCTGGGTTGGCCCTGCCTTCCCACCAGGTGCTCCATCACTGTTTCAAGTTGTGACTTAGCATTTCTACTACACTCCACCCCTTCACGGCTTGAACCAATGATTGAGCAGGTTGAAGGTAAGCCCATTCCATTGTGGTGATCCAGTATACCACAACGTTTGTACAATTTGCCCACTGTAATGCAGATTGACAAAATGTAAGACGGTTGACAATTGGTTCATGGTTGAGTTCATGTTCCTTTGTGGGTCAGTACTTGATGGTTCTCCTGGAGGCACATATTTGCTTGGACCACGGAAGGTTTGGCTTGTGTTCCATCAGTCCTATATAGTTCAACACCGGATGTCAGAATGATCTTACAAGTACACTGAAGCATCTTGATGTCATGTTGCTCCTCCCGGTAATCCCATGGACTCAGACTCATGGGGAGTAGTATAGATGTTTCTGAGGTACCAGAAGGGGTAGGTCCACCCTCCATGGCAAGATAGAGGCTGTGTTCCGGTCCCGGGTCAACACTTGAGCTTGCACTGGGGCATGTCCCAGCCATCTGTACCATACCCTTTGGCCTGATATCTGAGGCTGCATAACTATATAGAGTATTAAAGGGGGGAGTCCTGATTTGCTCTAGGGACATGATTAAGGTCCCCTTAACGATAAAAACCAAAGTGTTGACCACGATGTCTGCAGGCCATGTACCTATTACTGGGGGGACTACTGATCCCCCAACCTCTAATAATCTCCCCCAAGGTGCAAGTAGGCCACACCACTTTGGTTCTACTTGTACTTTCCGAGGCCATTCTACTTTATGGGTACCTGGTTCTAGGTCCTCAGGGGCAGGGAGCAGAAGGTTATTATCATTGCCAATTTGGGGTCTTACCCAATTATTGGATTTGGATCCAAAGCGGGGAGACACATGTTGTCTGTAGCATTTTCAGGGCACTGGGTCTGCCATCTCTAGGCCTTTCATTCAGGTCCTGCAGAGTTTCGTAGAGTCTCTTTGTCCACCCCTGCAGGGACTGAGAGTCTGTCTTCAGGGCAGCCTTGAGAATACCGTTATAGCATTCAATAAAACCTGCTCCTGTTGGATTATATGGCAGGTAGAATCACCATTCAATGTTGCTTTCTTCTGCCCAGCATTGTAGCATTACACCAGTAAAATGAGTCCCTTGGTCGCTCTCAATGACTTGAGGTGTCCCGTAGGCAGACATCAGTTTAGTGAGTGCCTTGATGGTATATGCCTGGTTTGCTCTTGGCATTGGATAGGCCTGCAGTAGCCCACTTGCTGTGTTGACACAGGTCAGGGCATATCTCTCCCCCTCAGACCGAGGAAGGGGCCCAATGTAGCTGCCCACATTGTCTTTTGTCCTGCATGCCGTAGCTTCTGATGTAACCAATGGGCGATGTTCTGAGATGGTGAATTCTCAGTCCATCGAACTCAAGCCAGTGTGTTGGCTTCATCGTTTCCCATTGACTGTAGGGGCTGGTGACCAGAAACATGGTAGACACGTACAGTCCTGTGTTTAACTGCATTCCATATGTCTAACCACATGTCTCTGCCCCAGATTGGCTGGGCGTGGATAGTCCATTCCTGGGTGGCCCACTGTGCAATCCAAAGAGTGAGCCCCCGGTACACAGTCCAGGTATCTGTACAGATATTCAGGATACCATCACCGGGTTCCTTGGTTATAACCATCCACACGGCTCGCAGTTCTGCCCATTGGCTGCTCTGACCATCCCCTTCTTCAAACCAGATTGTCTCAGTGGAAGGATGGTATGCTATCGCTCTCCACTTGCTCGGGTTGCCCTTGCTGGACCCATCTGTGTACCAGGCATCTTCAGGGATAGGATATTTCCCCTCCTGAACAGGACTCCTCTCTGGTAGAGTGACCAATGTTTCTTTTGGTGCATCACTGTGATACATCACTGGGTCTAGGATCTTCTGGAGTTCTTCTTTTAATGGTGGTGAAGACAGGCTACTCCTTTGGCTGAGATAGACGACCCATCATGCCACCATTTTTGCTTGGGCCACCCCTGTCTTAGGAAGGTGGGTCAGATCTTTCACCCACCTCTGAATTGACAGGGAATTCTGTGATTCTGTGGTGGTCTTAACTATGGTTTCAGCTGTTTGGCTTATTGGCTCTACTGCCTGTAATGCAGAGTAGGCAGCCAATAACTGTTTTTCAATCATACTGTACCTCTCTTCTGCTCCATGCCAGACCTGAGACCAAAACCCAGTGGGGGTTCAAATGGAATTCTGGTGCTGCCATAGGCCCCAGCCAAATCTGGAGTGACATGAACATCCAATTGAGCTTGAAGGGTAGGATCAAATCCTGTGCCTGGCCATGTTTAACAGCTAGTTTTGCTTGCTGGAATGCCTCTTATTCCATTCTCTCCCAGTCCCATTTTTGGCCTTTCTTTGTGAGTCAGTATAAAGGCCTCAACAGCTGCGGTAAGTGGGATACAAAGGAGCACCAGTATCCCAATAGACCCAAAAATTCTTGTAGCTGCCTTGGTGTGGTAGGGACTGAGAATGCCTGAACCTTGTCTATTATTGCACTGGGTAGTACTTTGGTCTTTCCCAACCAAATTACACCTAGGAATTTCAAGAACAAGCCTGGTCCTTGCACAATTCGTGGTTTTATAGCCCACCCTTTCTCTTGTAGATAGGTAGTCAATGAGTCTACTGCCTTTCCTAATGCCTCCTGTGAGTCAGACATCAGCATGAGATCATCAATATAGTGATACAGTTCAATGTTATTGGGATTGTTCCAATCTGCTAGGTCATGTGCCACTAAGTTATGACAATTTATAGTTGGGAGTGCATGTACCCTTGCGACAGGACCTGTAAAGTCCACTGTGTGCCTCCCCACATAAATGTAAACTGATCTTGTGATTCTTCATGAATGGGAATACTGAAGAATGCATTTGCCTAGTCTAGTACACAATGGTAGGTTTCTATCTCCATACTCAATGTGTCCATCAGGGAGACAATATTGGATATGGCTGCATGAATGGGCAATTTCATGATGGGAAATCCATCAATTCTCTGTAATTCACTGTCATTCTCCATGTGCCATCTGACTTCTGTACTGGCCATATAGGGGAATTGGCTGTGTGCAGGTCTTATGGTTGCTACTTTTTTGAGTTCCTGCACTGTTCTAGAGATTTTCTTTTGCCATTAAACATTTGTTTTTGGGATACCCGTATGGGTCCTGATTGAGGAGTACCCTTTCAACATCTGGATATTGTGCCTGGTTTGAAGATGCTTTGTCTCCCCTAGATCAGCCACCAGTTGGGCAGCTT